TAATTGTAGTCTCCAAAATGGGAATGTTGAAGTACTACGAGCAAATTCTTTGTCATACCAACTGTTCTTTTCGACCTTTCTGACTAGCAATTATCTGATAATCTGGGATCTGTATTGTTACTACCTGTTCTGCAGAGGCCTTATCATGGTCATCTTGATTATTGTTTCCTGTCAGTCATTTTCCATGGCAACACTAAGAACAGGAAGATGATTAAATTTGAACCCTGTTCTAGTCTACATTCCAGACAGATTGTGTCCTTCCAAAGCCTCCTACAGATATGCAGTGGTAAATCGCAGCGTTTTTTAAACGAAATTATATATTTTTTACTCAATGAATACACGTATGACATTTATTACACTCAGTACCGTGTCATATCTGACCGTGCCTTAAAGGTAATACAAAGTTTTGGTATTGGGTCAGGAATTTGGTTCAAATGAACATGTTGGAAGCATATGCGATCCTATAATATTAAGTGATCGTTGTCGCGGTTGAAATCGAGTCTAAAGTTTTTTTGTAAATAATATACTCTTTAAGTTGTATAGCTCCCTCTCAAAGTCAAGATATTAATTAAGCCATATAACAATGTTTCTTGACTAAAATCGACCGATTGACTATTCCCGTTTGGAAATTATATATCACAACTACATATTCTGAGATTTTCATGGTTGCAGCTTCCATAGTATGGCTGTAAGTGCTATTTGAAATTTGTCAAAATTTACTGGGGAGCACCGGTAAATTTTGATATTCAATTTGTCTCGAAAGCAGAAGTGTTTTAGGGGCTAAATTTTCTAGTGCTTATAATACATCCACAGGGGCATCCAAATATATCAAAATTGTAAAGAATCACTATCCAGTCAATTTTCAAAATTTCCCAAAACTTTGTATTGCCTTTAAGAGTACAAATCAAACCTGGGAAATATGAACTAAATCACTTTCAATTCTATCTTATACAAATATAACCATGTATATTGAAATACATCAAACTACAGATAATTAGGAACATACACAATATACGAAAAGCATAAGTAGATAGATTTAAGGCTCATTGCATTATTTACATTTAATTAATATGACCTACATTATAAAATGACTGTGTTACAACATTGTCATGCATTCTTATGAAATTATATTACAATCGTGAACTTAACTTAAATTCAACATAATGGATTCCACTATATATATATATATATATATAGTTAGTCATGTGTCAAACAAATTATACCTACATGTAAATTAACGACATACGTCATTCTTTATAATCTGACTAATCAATGTTTACAAAATAATCAGTTCCAGCAAGGGCCCATGTCGTAGTAGGTCCAAGGTTTAAGTAACCAAAATTTGGCGTTTTAACAATATACCACTCTCACTGAACGGAATAATTGATATTGATAGATCATGTCTTAAATTAATCAATGCAACTTGTTATAGTACTGCCACAACAACAACATCATAAACGAGACAATAACTACACCAAAACAACTATACACATGTATTACTATTACTACAACTACTGCTACTATTCACAACTACATGTTTAGTATTACTGGTGATAAAATGGGCTGATCGCATAAGGCAGAAATTTAACATGAATACAAAAAGTGCAGAAAAACATTCCTAATATCAAGCTTTAAGCTACGTGAATTAGCTTAATAATGTTCTTCAGTATAAACAGTATAAAATCACCATTTGAACTTGTAGAAAAAAAACATGTACTTTGATATTTGACATTCCTATACATGTATACTTAGTCGGTAGTTAATAACTTGCGTTGCAAAGACACTCCTTTGTATGGGCACCAATCATTTAGGTTCGTTATTTACAAATTATTTACAGACAAAATTAACAACTCATAAATATCACACAAAACAGTTTCCCTTTCCAAATTAAACTGTTAAGTTAACAAATACAAACAAACCTTTACGTAACAAATTCAACAGTTCATGCAAAACATATATTCGATAAAACAAGTATTCAGTGTTATATTATTGAAAGAAATGTGGACTTCATTATTTCGTCCTTTTTTACAAGAGCCATGGATGTTACATGCCAAGTAACAGTTCCTTTATTTTCTATTTGTAGATACTTCTAAGAAAAGAATACCGTAACACTCTTTTTTGTGAAATCACATTATAACTGGTGCCGAAATTATCGTCAATTTGCACATCTGAATGGTAAAATCGTTTTTGAGATTCCAATCCAAATATTGAGTTTTGTATCCACGTTCATGAAAATCATAGTGAAGAATTATTGAGAATTTCGGAAGGAAAACACTTTCATTCGGCATGGATTTTCAAGGATGTTGGACTCGATCTTATGGAAATCGATCCATCTTTTTGTCTTCAATTTTCATGCACAAAAACAATACAGGCCTGCGAATTAGTAAGTGCATTAGCCTGTCCAATGCTGTGTATTACAGAAATTGGGTACTAATAACTTTATGATTACTTGGCTCAGAAGAGACTTAGACTTATATTTTCAAATTGTTTATTGTATACTTAGTCTTTAGCTCATGTTTATTGTGTTTTAGAAATATAAAAATGTATATATCATGTCTATGTATTTCATGATTATTATATCTTACTTTGTTTTATATATCTTTCTGTATTGTAATGTAAATATTTTGTGCTCTCATATTCCTGAAGAGGGTCGATAGAGTCAAATAAATTTAAATCTCATATCATTTAAAGCAGGCCTTTTGGTTCTGAATTTTTAAAAAATAAGTCCTAGAGGACGATTAATTTTAATGGCACAGAAATCATTTGGTTGCACACGAGGCGATGTTAACACACTGCATTAATACATGCCCTAACCGAGTATGGTGATTTAGTTAGGACTATAACGAAGAAAGGTTTGCACAGTTAAATTTGCACTCACTTTGTGTAACAATATTCCTCTCGCATTGTGCGTCAATACCTACGCCAGTCACTGACGCAATTATACCCTAAGCATTTTTCGCATTGTGTACAACGAGCTTCTGAATGCAATTATCTATAACCACACAAACAATTATAAACAAAAATATATTATCCTTTCCAAAAGTGGCAATCTAAATACATCTTAGGAAGACGCTAGAGTATATTCATAGCTAAGCAAAAAGGCAAGCGACATTGCTGCAGTAAAGAAGAACTAGTATTGTAAAAAGTCATGTGTCTATAGCATGAATGCATCTCTAATCCTGTTATTTAGTGTCGGTATTTCGTCCGCCCACGACATTAAACATTTGGTGGATTCTAATTTTGGTAAGTAACTATAACAATCTATCAAATTTCAACTCCCTATCCGATACTCTTTACAATGACAGCTCACATCGATTTATTACCTTCTGTACAGGTCTCCTAACTCTGAAGATTTTTCAAATGTCCATGATTAACTGAGCAGGCTCTTCTTCCATGAGAACCCATTACATTTTTTGTAATATACACGTATATATTTGAGGCACCTATCAGGGATTTGCAAGCCCTCGGAAACTTATCTCAACATTTATATGTAGCAGCAAGATGATAGTCTGAAAGTATCCACAAAATTTCAGATCAAATGACTCCATGATTTTCTGTCTATAAGTGAAAATTGAAGCCCTAATCTTGTACACAACAAGTGTGGTCAATAAAACACTTCCAGTTGCAAAATTCAAATTTGGAATGACTGTGATTTTGCTTACTATGAATATTTTGCCGTCTTACTTATGGGAGCATTTTCAATTATGATATTTTACAACATTTTGACCCTGTCACAGGTCTTGAGATTTTCACCATGGAAATCCCTGAACACTTTTTAAAGTATTTCGAAGTGAATTCAAGATCACACTTTCTTCAATGAAAGGAAAAGAGCAAAAAAAAACCGATGTCAAGAATACACATCCTAGTAATATCTTATGAATATCCACGTGATTTATTGGATGAATAACTCCATTGCATGGCAATTGTATTTATAATAGCAAAATGGATTATGACTTCAAATTAATCATCGGGAAATTATCTGATACGTATGCAGTGGTGTATTTATGTAGTTGTCACTTCAGCCGGTATTTCGTCTTCGCGAGAAATGATCGTCTGATCCGTCTGAGTGATCGAGTAGGGTGTCATCTACCAGTATAAACTGACGTGAGAGAAGAGAGAGAGAGAGAGAGTTAGAGAGAGAAAGACAGAGAGAGCTATATGAATGTGTGCATAAAAAATGAAGCAGCGCTGCATCAAAATTATCACATATTGCAGTAAATGGGGGACTAAGAAAAGAGCTTGAATATCATACGGCTTTACGTAAAAAAAACCCATCTATACTAATATGTTAACTATTACGTAGAAAACGTCATAATACAAACAAAAAATGCGAATAATGTAAATAAATAGGCCTACATATAATTTCAAAAAAAGAATACAAAACTTCAGTTCATCACTTCGCTCATGTAATCCATAACACAGCCTGTATTTTCCAATGGGCACCGTGAAACATTCATAATTACAAATTTCCAAAGGAATATTATTTTACGTATGCCTTTTGTCAACTGTTGCATTTTGCACAGATTGATTTAATAATGTGAGATCATGAGTGGTACATAATGTCAGTTCCTCATCATTTTCGATGAAAATGGAAATAAACAAATAATCACATATTTCTGTACGTCTTTTGAATTTTGTTAACGTGAAACATTACTTCATCCCAACCCTCCCGAGACGGGAAATAACTACATGCTTGTAAGATATTAAAGACACTTTTGTCCCCTTCTATTTCTGTACACTTAAACACATGCATGTCTATTCGAGCATCCCCTATACATTTTGTCTACCCAAAATCGTTTGGCATATGTCATTTATTTGCAATCTTGAACATTCAGTGTAAGTTTTGTTTTCTATCATTACCAAAACTTGAGGAGAAAAGTACATATTGTGATCGTGCGTACGATACACAAGCACTGCGTATCGCAGAGGGTTTAAAAGAAATGCAACCATCCATAAATGTTATGCAGCAATGCAAGTCTTGAAGTAAACGTTCTAAGGGCTTACCCACGTGGTTTGCCATGCACCACCTCCACCTGGTGGACCACCTCCATGATATGACCTTCATTACAAGCAACGGTGACATCATCCACTCTCTCATCTGTCCCGCATCTTATGAATCTGCCAGTATCAAGATCGACGGTACACGGTATTAAGTGATTAGGGATGGGGGCATGTCAACGGAGTTAACAATAATGTTTGGTATATAACTGTTAATAATGATGTAACTTTTTCCCATATTTGTTGTATCATGTAGACCATGATAGAACAGCAGTAATGCATGGTACAGATGAGCAAAGCTAGATATTCATTCTTAGGCCTACCCATGTTGTTATTTATGTGTTTTTTTATTTTTAAGTTCCAATCGATTCTAATCATATAAAAAACAAACACTGAGATAGAGAGTGTGACAGAAAGAGAGAGAGAGAGAGAAAAGGGGGAGACATACTCTATTCTAGATGAGGAGGGGAGAATTGAAAGGGGAAAAATGTCAAAGAGCTCCTTGAAAAAATCCCAATATGTCATACCTGATAGTCTTCAGATTTTTGAGGTTGTGAGGTGATCTGAAAGCTTGTAAGATTAGTTCCATCTTACTGTTACCAATGTTAAGATCGCTAAATGTCACCTTGACAAGCCGAGGGAAGCTATTCAGGAGGACGTCGGGTAGTGAAGTGGGCTTCTCGTGGAAATTAGCCGGTCGATCTCTAAACTCATCTGATTGAATGGTGAGTTCTGTTGCTTCTGGGAGATGGATCCTCCTGATGACGTCATATGTGATCGTGCTCCGTACCTGTATAGTGACCCTCTTCACATTATCAAACATCGAACCATAATCCTGCCATCTTCGTAGTGTCTCATCATCCACTGTCAGCTCAGTCAGGGTGGCTGAGCCCTTGTTACCACTCTGGTTGTCCTCCAGTATAGAAAGAGCAAGTGCAATGACAAATGTATTAGGTATGAGTGTTGGTAGATATATAATTGCGTCCTTAGGTTTCATGAAAAAAGCGACAAAATCATAAAAATAGAAGGCTTATGTTAAGTATAAATTGCATGATAAAATAGTACATAGTAAACGTTAATTTCTTTGCTTTTATACGATGAAACTAAGCATTTGTATGGGTAAAACACTCTTCTTTTTTTTTGCATCTTGCCTTCATGGTCATGTCGAATATTTGAGGCATATTTTACAAATTTTGTTTATGAGCGAAAAAAATCATTATAACACCAACGTGCATTATAACACCTGAGAATAAGACTTATTCATTTTTCGAATATAGTTAGAGTAACAATCGAAAAATGAATGAACTATTATACATTCAATAAATATTCATAAAGTAGATAAAGCTAATTAATAAAGATGATTATTTGGAAGACTTGGTTATCCAGTGGTGGATTAAAATAGTATATTTGTAAAGCGCTTAGAGACATTTGTATTAAGCGCTGTATAAAAATTAAATATTATTATTATTATTATTAAAGATAATCTGGCGGGTGGCACCAGCACGAGAATCTGTGTCAAGCAGTAATAACAAAATAGAATAACGTCATTAAATTCCTCAGATGACAGTATACTCCAAAATTCTCCGACCAGCAACTAACATGGCAATGGGAAGGGAAAGATTGCATTTTTGTGGGTTTTTATTCAATTATTTTGTCTCAATGTATCTTAATTTAGTCACAATTCAAATATTTGTCCAACATCATGTCTATAGCCCTCCGTGCTACCATATGGAATAAAAAAATATTGTATATTTATCCATCTTATAGATTTTGTCTTTTTTCGTTTCATGAAAAGAGACCATTTTCCCCTTCCAATTCCTCAAACGCCTAACTTTCCTACGTGTTTGGAAAGTAAACTCATCATTTTCCTTTGACTTAAACAAACAAGGCATAAGTGTAACTCAGATCAAAGAAAAAATTACTTGATTTACTTATATACTACAAATATATGACTTTATCGGTACCTTTGCAGACAATGCCATCAACGTTGATGATGTGTCGAAGTCCTCGAAAAGCGACATGGGGGCATGGAGTGTCAGGTTCTTCAGATGAGGCATCTTGCAGATGAACTGAGCGAGATCACGTGATGCAGAGGGACGTTCACTGAGATCATCAAGCCGGATGTCAAGAGTCTCAATCTGGTATGATAGTAATAATAATAGTGAACATTTATAATGCGCCATGTCTGTCAAAAATGACACTCCTGGCGCAGTTGTGTGGAAATTGTATAATTGTGGGCAAACGACCATCAAGTGATTCAAGATTCAAGTTCAGGGCCAGAACTTGAAAACGATCGCCATCCCAGGAGTGCCGTGAACGTGGGATGCAGAGAAGTTGGGTGTGAGCAGAGCGGAGTAGTCGTTTTTGTTGTATATATGTCCTTTTTTTTTGCACGTAGTAGGCTGCCCTTCTATGTCAATCATTATCAATCATATTGCACTCCATACATGGAAGAATCTTTACATTATGAATACAAATGATGTCATGATGATGATAGACGTAACTATCTTGAATCCAGCGCAGACTCGTTAGTGTATGATCTTGGTGAGGGCAATGACGCTGTCACGAGTCATTGTAATTTTTGTACAGAAAGCCAATTCTCTCAAAAGATGGGTAATTCTGGAAATAACGAGCTCCCTTTTCTTCATTTTAATGTTCGTATTATGCAAGCAAACTTTGATAAATTAAAAGAATTTTTTCGGAACGTGTGCAACAGTTCTATGATTAGAGGAATCTTTGAAACTTGGTTATCGAGTGAAACTGAAGGAAATGTATTTTCTCTTCCGGGAAGTGATTTAATTCTGAATAATCGACAGGTTAGGAGGGGAGGAGGTGTCGCGTTGTATGTCCCCACTCAGTTCAATTACCGAGTTTTGAATGAAGTCAATGTAATGAATGATTTAATGGAAAGTGTCTTTGTGGATTTGTTTTTTGCTGACAAACGGAATGTTATAATCGGGGTCGTTTATAGACCGCCACAAGGTAATGAGAACTTGTTTATAAATAAAATGCAAGCTGTGTTGTTATGGGTGAATATAATGTTAATCTTTTTCAGCACGATGAGAATGCATGCGTTTGTCACTTTTTGAACATGTGTATATCTTTCTCTTTATCGCCCTTAATTACTAAACCTACCAGAGTTACAGACACTTCTTCTACTCTCATTGATGACATTTTTAGTAATTTATTGGTGAGGTGATGGCTACAGGGAGCAGACATGGTCTGGTTTTGTGATATAAAATCCACTTAATCTTGCACTTTTAACTGCAGATCGTGTATTTTATTTACCTGATTTTGCTTCTTGAACATATCTTCAAGCTTTTGATATGATTATTTTGTTCTTTGATACCTTCTGGAGGTAGAATATTGTGATAGTTTTACAGCCATTTTCTGCCAAGGAATTTGAACACACACCTGTAGTCCCATATGGAGGATCCTGAGTTTGCTTATTTTGCCCAGCCTTCTTCATACCTACACTACAGGCAACAATAACTGTAATGTATATTTTCTGACTGAATTATGCTTATATTATTCTTATGATATAGAAGCAATTACTCACTGGGATTTAAATCATTTACCAGATGATTTAGCTAACCGTCTACTACTACTAATAGTAATAGCTAACCTACATAAAATGGGTGTAGCTGAGTGAGTGAGACTGCTGTGAGCTTTTCTGACTTCCCTTTGTTTGTTCTGAATACGTATTGAATATTGAATAATGTCCTGCCAAATTTAATCACCGGTATTCATCACCGTTCGACTTGCAAACGCCATCATGAAGAATTACTTCTTACCACCCTCTTCTTCTAGATCACATCCACTCCTTCTAGCAATACTCTCAATAGTGTGTGCACTTAAACTATTGAAGAGTGGAAACCTGTACACGCAGATTGCAGACCATAGATCAGCTTCTTTACCCTTCTTCGATCTACACGCAACGCTTTGTGAACCAAGATCACTACACCAGCCTACTAGAAGGCGTACTTACACTGCAGATATTGATAACTGCAAACTGTTACTTTTTATATCATCCTGTAATAAGTGGAATCGAAATACAAAGCTTTGTCCACTTGACTTCAGGTCGACTTCTTTGAGCCACCTAACCATCCTACTTCTCCTCAGCGGACAAGTTGAAACCAACCCTGGTCCATCAACTAGTGCTCCTGAGACATTTCCATGTGCCATCTGTGGGGATGAAGTGAGAGACAACGACCCTGCTCTCTTATGCGATCACTGCTACTGCTGGTGCCACATCTCATGTGTCGGTATCTCCCCAGACTCCTATGATATCTTGACGAAGAAGTCCAGGAGCTTCGCTTGGGTGTGCTGCCAGTGTTCCTCTACCAACATAGGGTCAAGCAGCTCGCTGCAAGGTCTTAACCTCTCACAGACCAATCGTTTCTCACCCCTTCACCACGACTCCAGTAATGAAGAAATCCTTCCCTCCATCAACCCTCTAACCTCTACGCCTACATCGAGCCCTGGGGGACGTCGTCAACCACGATTTCACCCTCCATCAAGAAATCGCAAAAAGGCATTTAAAGTGATGGTTGTAAACTGCAATGGTCTTAAGGGGAATGCTAAAAAATCAAGCTTCCATGCAGCCATTGCTCACCACACTCCTGATTTTGTTTTTGGTTGTGAATCAAAACTGGATGACAGCTTATCATCATACTCAATCTTCCCAATCAATTACTCAATCTACCGTAAGGACAGAAACATCCATGGAGGTGGTGTCTTCATAGCAATCATCGACACGCTAATTGTCACTGAATGTCCAGAGTTTGACTCAGACTGTGAGATACAGTGGTGCAACGTGCAACTTGCAAATGCCAAGCCACTGTATATTGGTAGCTACTACTGCCCCCCCAACAACAGACAACAAGGTCTTGAAGGCTTGCACCAGTCATTGTCCAAGATTATGACAAGGCACCGGCGCAGCCACCCTAACATCTTGATAGCCGGCGACTTTAATCACCCAGACATCAACTGGGATGACCAGTCGACTACAAATCCAGCCACTTCTACTTGTCACCAGAAGCTGTTGGATATCCTTTTGCACAACTCCTTGTCTCAAACAGTCAGGGAAGTCACCCGACCTTCATCCAACAACATCCTGGATCTAGTTGTGACGTCGAATCCCACCCTGGTTGAGAATGTGTGCGTAAAGTCTGGGATATCAGACCACAACATCGTCACTTTTACTCTTGCTGCAAATCCAAAGATCTCTGTCAAGCCCCTGAGGAAGATCTACCAGTTCCACAAAGCTGACGAACAGCAACTGAGAGATGCAGCAGCCGAATTTGCGACGGAATTCCTCCAATCAGATCCAGAAAGAAGATCAGTGGAGACAAACTGGTCCATCATTGTCAACTTCTTGAACAGGTGTTTGTCTGAGCTTATTCCTTCCAAAATGAGCAAAGGAAGGAAACATCTTCCTTGGATTACTCCTCCTTTGAAACGCCAGATGAGGAAGAGAGATAGCCTATTCAAGAAGGCACACAGCCAGTCTTGCTCCACAGCTTGGACAGCCTACCGACAATTCAGGAACCAAGTTGCCAAGAATGTGCACAGAGCACGTTGTGAGTACGTCAACAACATCATCGGGGCAAGCCTTAAGGACAACCCAAAGTCTTTCTGGTCTTACATCAAGACATGTCGTTCTGAAAACATTGGTATTCCTACCTTGCGTACTCCATCTAAACTATGCGCCTCAGCATTAGACAAGGCAGAGACACTGAACGACTACTTCCAGTCTGTCTTTACTCCTCACCAGCTCCAACCTCTTGTACAGAAAGGACCTTCTCCTTTTCCAACTATTGGTCACCTGCATGTTCACAGGACTGGTGTCGAGAAACGCCTCCAACAACTGGACCCTTCAAAGGCCAGCGGACCTGATGAACTCCCACCCAAGCTCCTAAAGTTGGTAGCTTCTCCACTGTCCTTCCTGTTTCAACAAAGCTACAACAGTGGCATTGTTCCAGCCCAATGGAAACAGGCACTGGTTACCCCTATTCACAAGTCGGGAGAAAAGTGTGACCCCTCCAACTACAGACCGATCTCACTTACCTGCGTTTGCTGCAAAGTCATGGAACATATCATCCTGAGCCATGTGTCGAAGCATGTTGCAGTGAATAATATCCTCACTGATGCACAGCATGGCTTCCGACGAGGGTTGTCAACAACCACTCAATTGACAACAGCCGTCCACGACTGGTCCTCCATCCTACAGCAGCGTAGCCAAGCTGATATAATCTTCTTGGACTTCAAGAAGGCATTTGATCGAGTACCACACCTTCTCCTGTCAACCAAACTTCAGTACTATGGAATAAGTGGTGACTCACTCCAGTGGATAATGTCTCTCCTCACTGATAGACAACAGGCAGTCGTAGTTGATGGATCCAAATCAACATGGAGGGATGTAACATCTGGAGTCCCCCAGGGATCCGTCATCGGCCCTACCCTCTTCCTGTTGTATATCAACGATATCCAAGACAACATCCAGTCCACAATGCGTCTCTTCGCAGATGACAGCACCCTCTATCGTGAGATTCGATGCCCTGAGGACCATCAAATCCTAAAGGACGATCTCCAACAGCTGTCCAGGTGGTCTTCAAACTGGATGATGGACTTCAACGTGAAAAAGTGCGCTATCCTCACCATCACACGGAAGCGTACTCCCAGCATCCGAGAATACCACCTGTCAAATGGACTGATTCCGAGAGTGAAAGAGTACAAGTACCTTGGAGTAACGGTTGCTGCTGATCTCCGTTGGAACAAGCACTGCCAAACCATTCGGCATAAAGCAAGCCGTACTCTAGGTCTTCTTCGCAGGACTCTCTCACCCTGTACCAGGGATGTAAAGTCCAGGGCCTACACAGCCTTAGTGCGCCCCCAATTGGAGTATGCCTCGGAGGCTTGGAACCCACACAGCGTCACGGTCACAAAAATGCTAGAGCAAGTACAAAGAACAGCGGCTCGCTTTGTGTACCGTGACTACAGATACACCACATCACCATCAGCTCTTGTGGCAGCTCTAGGGTGGGACACGCTTCACACACGTCGAATCCTCGACCAATGCACCCTTCTCTACAAGATCCATCACCGACTTGTCCCCATACCTGCACCAACTATTGTTATCCCTGCTACATACTTCGGAAGACATGACCACAACCTGAAGTATGTAATTCCTGTTGCAACTATCGACTCCTTCAAGTTCTCATACTACCCAAGAGCAATAAGGATCTGGAACCATCTGCCAGGCTCAGCAGTCAATGCAACAGGAATAACCAACTTCAAGGAGGCTGCTCTACCCTCCATCAGAATGATGCAGCCCCCCGTTGGTTCTCACATCATATAAGCTTACTAGCTTGGTTTTTACTTGCACTGGACTTAGCATATTTTACTGTAAATTGACAAGTGCTTTGTCCACACACCATTCCAGCAATTCATGACACTCCTTGTAGTCACTTGCCTCACCTACCATCCCAGTATAGCTTCCTGAGTGAGCTGCCAAAGGGATTACCCAACCAAGTACCAAGTACCTTTACCAGATGCGGGTATTATAATTTCAGATTTGTCTGAACACTTTCCAGTATATATGAGGATGTCTGTTGGTAGGAATATCCGTAATATTTCTACTAATAGATTCTCATAGAGTCTCATAAACAGTTTATAATAGTTTATTTCTTTTGCCAACGACTGTAGAAGAACTATTAATATTGTACATTCTTTAAAGAATAAGAAAAGTCCAGGTTGTGACTATAAAACAAATGTGTTGATAAAAATGTAATTGTCGGTATTGTACAACCCCTCGTACATTGAATCTATCAATGACCACTGGTGATGTACCCATGAAAATGAAAATTGCAAAGGTTGTGCCCACTTTTTTAAAAGAGTGATGCCCTTATCTTGAATAATTATCGTCCTATTTCTTTGAGAAGCCAATGTACTCGGATGATAAGATTTCTGATGAATGCTAACATTTTGTCAATTTTTCAGTTTGATTTCCGTGAAAACACACTACCACTCATGCTATTCTACATTTGGTGGATAAGATTTTCAGTGCCTTAGATGCACGCATGAATACAGTTGGTGTCTCTTAGACTACTATAAAGTGTTTGATATTGTAAATCATTATATTCTAATAGATAAACTGTGGCATTGTGGTGTAAGGGCAATAGCATTAGATTGGTTTAGAAGCTACTTAACAAATAGGAAACAGTTTGTTACTTTAAATGGAATTGATTCAGATTTGCGGGACGTCACTTGCGGGGTCCCACAGGGATCCCTTCTAGACCCACTTTTGTTTATTGTGTATATTAACGATTTTCAACTTCCCGCAAAGATGTTATCAGTCATTTTATTTGCAGATGACTCGAGTGTCTTTTTCTCTCACAGAAATCCACAAACTTTTTTGCAGACTGTAAACTCTGAGTTCACTAATGTGACTTAGTGGATTCATGCAAACAAGTTGTCTTTAAATCGTTAAAACAAAAATGATATGCCCTGAGTATATTGCCTGGAAATGTAATGTTCAACAAATTTAAAAGTGTTAAATGGAAAGTACCATATTAGTAAACTTTGCATTATTGTCAAGAAATACTGGTGTAAATTTATAAATTAAAATCTGTGTTCCCACTGAATATTTTACGTATGTTGTACGCAACTTTAATTTTGCCATATTTGCACTATGGTGCGTTAGCTTGTGATAAGTCGTTCCATCTCAAATGGATAAATTACTACTGGTACAGAAAAGAGTAATACGACTTGTTTGTAATACTCACTATCTCTTGCATACAAATGTTCTTTTTTAAATTAAAAAAGAACATTTGTATGCAAGAGATAGTGAGTGTTTTAAAAGTTGAAGATATTTATCATTTACAACTAGGAGCTCTAATGTATGAATTGAATGCAGGTCTACTGCCAGTAGCCTTGACTAGAATATTTAAGAAAAATAACCAAGTTATTCCACACGACATGCTTAAGCGTATCACTTACCTCTTGTTAGAACGCAATTTGCTCTGACTACATTGGGGTCCACTGGACATATGTTTTGGAATTCCCTTGAACCAAGAATAGACCAATCGGTCAGTATTTATGTATTTATTTAATAAGCGCAAACTGAAGTTACTTTTTTTGAGTCGATATTGTCTAGATTTACAGTTTTGATAATTATTTAAGGAAATCATTTGCTATTATATAGGTCAGCATATTTCTACTCCTGTTTATCAAATCTGTTCATCTGTCTGTCTTGTTAAGTTTTTGTCTGTGTTTCAGTCCTGTTGCTCGTAGTATTTTCCTGCTTCTCTTGTGTATAGCCGTTATTCAGTAGTCAATTGAATTTACTGTACTTATTTATGGTTATGTTTTCTCAGTTGTTTAGTTCGTTTGGTTCGTAAGCACTCTAATGTATGCAGTATTCCTATCCGACGAGTTTCTTCATTTAGGACATACTCATAAGCTACTCATGAGGGAACTTAATTCCACAAGCCATGTTTTCAACCAAGGTCGCCTCATCTTTCTATTGTAATGCCACATTCTGTCAACTTGTTATATTCATGTCATATTTGTAATGTGAATATGAATTTAAGAAAGATAAATAAGACTTGAACTTGAACTTGATCTAAAGTCTTACAGAAAAATAGAATAAAACTACAAGGTGGCAGAACGATCGATTTTCTTTCACAGAAAAAAATGCTTTTGTTCCGGTAACAACTTGGAGACCCTGATTAAGTTATCGACGACACTGTATAGTGGCGGCTCAACGATTGTGAGAAAGGAGGGGTTTTCCCGGACATATGATTCAATAATCTCGCCATCTCTCCTGCATTTTTTTTTTTTTTTTGGGGGGGGGGGTCAAATATTGAATTTTAAGGGTCTCACATTCACAGTTGCAGTCATCATTCATTTAAAAAAAAAAGATTATTCTTACGCTTAATTGAAATAATACTTTGTAAATCTAATATTACTTAGCTTTGTATTGCCGCCCAGTAATGAAAAATATGGTATATATTATCTACTATCAATTTGATATCTTGTTATGGGAAGCTTATTCTCACTTTCGCTCATTTGCCCCCTACAGTGGATAAAGGATTATTTAAAGGAAAGAAAACAATATGTTGTTTATGATAATGCAACTTCATTTGAAAAAGAACTTGTATGCGGAGTGCCCCAAGGGTCAATACTTGGGCCACTGTTGTTTATTATATATATATATATATATATATATATATATATATATATATATAAACGATTTGCCAAATGTTTCCTCAACTTTGTCATACATTATTTTTGCAGACGATACCAATGTCTCTTTAAGCGAGAAGAAACTAGATACTCTTGTCCATAATATGAATAAAGAAATACAAAAGGTAAATATTTGGTACAAAGTGAATGGGTTAAGGATAAACATTGAGAAAACAAATTTTATGCATTTTGCACCATTAAATAAACAATATGATAAGAACTTACTTATTCTTAAGTTTGTTGATTCACTAGAGCCCTTAAAGCAAGTGCATAGTGCCCGCTTCTTGGGAGTTAATATTGATGACAAGTTATCATGGTCTTTACATATTAATGATATTGCATTGAAGATCTCGAGAATTACTGGAGTTATGTCAAAACTGAAATTTGTATTACCGTCAAAGGTACTGCTTTTACTATACAATTCATTAATTCTACCCCATTTACAATATGGGAATATGCTATGGGTAAATGCATCAAATACCTTGTTAAATCGTTTAAATTTGTTGTAAAAACGTGTAATACGCATAGTGCCAAGTCTCATTATTTGGCCCATACCAACAATATCTTTAAACAATTAAGGGTTTCGACTGTATAAGAGTTAGGTAGGTTACAACTGGGAGAATTTATGTACAGGTCTGAAAAGGGACTATAACCAAACTCACTTCAAAACTGGTTTAGATGCAACAGTGATGTACATTGTTATAACACCCGAAACTTCAAGAATTTGCATAGCATTTATTACAGAACTGCTACTGGCCAAAGAAGTGTTAAGTACCAAACAATCTGCATCATTACGACAATTTAAGTTGAAATATAAAAATTACCTTTGCAATTCTAAATAGTCAGATCAATTTAAAAAATAATAATTATTATGTTTCAAATCGCAATTATATTTTCAATTATATTTTTAATCTAATTATAAAACCAGACATTTGAAGGGAAAGTCCACCCTGAGGATGGGTTTACTCCGCCTTTACTTGGCCACACACATTCTCAGGGTGGACTTCCCCTTCATTGCTACCGGGGCTAGACTCGATAAGCTTCGATTTTTCTAGCCCCATCTACATTACTTACCTTTTTATGTTTTAATGTTGATGTTTGTTAACTGATGTAGATTTTCATTGTTCTTTTATGTTTATGTATCTGTTTTTCATTTGCTCTATGTGTCAAATGTATAAAATGTATTTTCTTACCTTGTTTATTCTTCTGGTTTTTAATGTGGAAAATAAATGAAATGAAATGAAACATCATCAAACGTTAGCTCTTCCTACCTGCTTCCTCTTAACGGTGTACTAATTTGGACAGTAACATCACCCCGTTTAGTGTCCTCCAGAAATGAGTACACGTCAGTATAACAAAACTCGTAGTGATTTGTTTAGATTATACAATATCATGATGCTTTAATCAATACCTTTGTAGATGACGCTAGCGACGAAGATGTTGAGTAGAATTCACTGTTCATCATGCATCTTCCTTGACGAAGTGTGAGTGTCAGGTTTTTCAGCTGAGGCATCTTGCAGATAAACAGAGCGAGATCACGTGATGCAGAGGGACGTTCACTGAGATCACCAAGCCGGATTTTAAGAGTCTCAATCTGTTATGATAGTAACATTATGCTGAATGATCAATTAATAACAACCAACTAAAAGTATATTCAAGATTAAACAATTTGTTTATTTATATAATTAGATTAAAATTGTATTAATACCGTTGCCACGATAACAAAAAACGTCTTAACACTGGTCTGAACACATCCACCTTTATTTGGTAATGATGCAAAGTCTTGTAACCTGAAATAAGCATTCATTTCGAAAGTTCCTATATTCTTTTAAGATTGAAAATGGTGGTCATACATTATTGCTCTGTTAAGGTGAACAAAGTGTTTTGACTGATCTATTTAGGACTGTGGCATGACTAACCCTCGCAAATAGGGGACAGAAGAATATGTTCAGAAGTATAATGTGACATTACGGATAAAGTAAGACATCGTGAATATTCTCTAGAACATAGTTGACCTAAATGAAGGAGTTAGATAATGATCTAAAGTCTTACAGAACATATAAAATAAAACTAGAAGGTGGCAGAACGGTCGCTTTTCTTTCACAGAAAAAAATGTTTTTGTTCTGGTCACCACTTGAAGACCCTGATTAAGTTATCGACGACACTGTATATTGGCGACTCAAAGATTGTCAGAAAGGAGGTGTTTTCCTGGACATATGATTCAATAATCTCGCCATCTCTCCTGCATTTGCAAGACAGACTGAATGAGGCGGGGGGGTCAAATACTGGATTTCAAGGGTTTCCATTTTACAGTTGCCATCATCATTCATTTGAATTAACAAGATTATTCTTACATTTAATTAAAATAGACGAAAGACTTCATGCATGGCTGATTGTCAACGAAACTGAGTTAAGTCTTTTGTCAATTCTACTTGTTGTTAAGGCAGGCAGCCAGTGAAAACAAATTCGTTTGATAAAATTATGGAAATGCATGCACTAATTTAAACAAACAGAACTTTGTCATTCCTTGCTCATTTTTCGTGATTGAGGTGTCATATGAAAGGGCAGAAACTCAACTTTTTAGAAATGTGATTTTCCCTCTAAAATCCAGATACTGTCCGCTAAATGACTTTGTGACTTCCTCTCTTCAAATTAATTTTATTCACTCATGCGTGAAAATATGCATCGTGTGAGTTGCATCAAATGAAAGGAGAGGATCTAAGCTTTCCAAATATGTGTTGTTTATTAATTATAAATGTGACTAAGTTATGATAAAACATCGATAATTCTCGGTTTCGTTTTTTCTGGGACGCACTGTATAACTAGTAGTTTGACTTTTTAGAGCTTTTTAGAGCTAGAAGTAGGGTTATTCGAGAGAATTTTGGGAGGCTGCAAATTAGTCGTGCACATGTATTTTGGACCCGCTGTAACTTGGAAATCTGTGACTCTGGCAATCCATACAATCAACTATTATAGTAATCTAGTTTACTAGTGATACATGCATGCACGATAGTTTTCATACTATCCTGATCAAAGTATTTACGAATACATCCCAAATTATAAATCATGAAATAGGCTGATTTGCATATTTTACTAATATGTGAATCCATGTTCAGGTGGGTATCAAAGAACACACCCAAGTTTCTATCAGTATCAGATGGGGTTATGGTAAAGTCGCCAACTGATACACTACGCAACCTGAATTTAAACCTGGCGAGGAGTGCCAATGACCAAACGCTCCGTTTTTTATCATTTAACATCAACTTCACGGTGTTTTGCAACATCCACATTGAACATTCTAATATAAACAACACATGTTCCTAATTCAGAAATACAATAATCTTCAGCTGGTGTGTTAGGACAGAAAGAAAAGTATAAGTTGTGTGTCGTCTGCGTAGCAGTAACAACTAATACTAGGAAACTGCTTATGGATATTTGTAATAAGCCTGCTTGTATATAATGTAAACAACAGAGGGCTTAAACGTGACCCTTTGAACATTTCCTTCATCGTGTGTCCATCCAGTGTCAACTTCGGGACATTGTGGCGCGGGCATTTAGGGAGTGCATTACCACTTTCGCTCATTTGCCCCTACTGCATAAACCGTTTGCTTTTTGTTCCTGCTCCTCTTAACGGTGTACTAATTTGGACAGTAACATCACCCCGTTTTGTGTACTATAGAAATGAGTACACGTCAGTATAACAAAACGTGTATTGATTTGCTTAGCTTATAATATATAATTATGCTTTAATCAATACCTTTGCAGATGACGCTATCAATGAAGATGTTGAGTAGAAGTCATCGTGTACCGACATGGGGGCATCGAGTGTCAGGTTCTTCAGATGAGACATCTTGCAGATGAACTGAGCGAAATTACGGGATGCAGAGGGACGTTCACTGAGATCATCTAGCCGGATGTCAAGAGTCTCAATCTGTTATAATAGTAATATTATGTTGAATGATTAATTAATAATCAACTTAAAGTATATACAAGATTAACCAATTTGTTTAAAATTGTATTTAATATCGTTACCACGATGGAAACGTCTTAACCCATCCACCTTTATTTGGAAAGGACGTACGAGTCTTGACAACCGTAATAAGAACTAATTTCGATAGTTCCTGTATTCTATTGAGATTGAAAAAATGGAATTCATACATTACTGCTATGTTAAGGTGAACAATATGTTTTGACTGATCCAATTAGGACTGTGGCATGAGTAGCAACAAATGGGAGACAGTAGAATATGTCCAGAAGTATAATGTGACATTACGGATAAAGTGAGACATCGTGAACATTCTATAGATCATAATTGACCTGAATAAATTAAGGAGTTAGATCATGAACCAAAGTCTTACTGAACAAAATAAAATAAAACAAGATGGCAGAACGGCCGCTTTTCTTAAAGAAAAAACAATGATTTTGTTCCTGGGACAACTTGAACAACCTGATTATGCTATCGACGATATTGTGAAGTGGCGACTCAAAGATTGTCAGAAAGGAGGGGATTTACCGGACATATTATTTGGTATCTTGCCATCTCTCCTGCATTTGCACGACAGACCGAGTGAGGGGTGGGGATTCGAATACTCGATGTCAATGATCTCAATTTTTTACAGTTGCCATCATCATTCATTCAAAAACAAATATTATTCTAACATTTGATTGAAATGGTACTGTGTTAATCTAATTTTAGGAAGCTTTGTTTTGCCACGTGTGATTGAAAAATATGAGAGGTATTATTTGTTGTCAATTTTTGTAATATTATTCTGTACGTAGCGCTTTCACACTTACGCTCATTCGCCCCCTGCTTCATGAAATATAAGCTTTTCCTACCTGCTACCTCTTAACGGAGTACTTATTTGGACAGTAACATCAACCCGTTTCTTATACAATAAGAATAAGTACACGTCAGTATAACAAAACGCGAATGATTTGCTAAAGCAGGGCTCCCACTTAGCCGAGTTGGAGCCTCGAGTTGTGGCGAGCTGGCGCGATCTTATGGCAAGCAGTTTTATCATTAAAACATATTTCTTGATATCAAGAATTCAATTCTTGATATCACGAAATCGAATTCCTGATATCACGAAATCGAATTCTTGATATCAAGAATTACCATTGCTTTACAACGTAGAATTATTTCTTGATATCAAGAATTTATTTCTTGATATCAATTAATAACAAAACGGCTTGCCATAAGATCGTGCCAGCTCGCCACAACTCGAGGTTCCAACTCGGCTAAGTGGGAGCCCTGCTTTAGATTATAAAATATATGCTCTAATCAATACCTTTGCAGATGACGCTATCAACGAAGATGTTGAGTAGAAGTCATCGTGAAGTGAGGAATTATCATAGCCCTTTTGCTCACAGAGTATCAGATTCTTCAGATGAGGTAACTTACAGATAAATTGAGCGAGATCACGTGATGCAGAGGGACGTCTACTGAGATCATCAAGCCGGATGTCAAGAGTCTCAATCTGTTATGATAGTAATATTATACTTGAATGATTAATTAACAAAAACCAACCAAAAGTATTTTCAAGATTAACAAATTTGTTGAAAATTATATGATATCGTTGCCACTTTAAAAAACGTCTTAACACATCCACCTTTGTTATGTAATGATGTACAAGTCTTGATATCTGAAATAACCACTAATTTCGATAATTCCTGTACTATTTCGTGTTTGAAAATAGAGTTCATACATTAGTGCTATGTTAAGGTGAACAATATGTTTTGACTGATTCAATTAAGACCACGGCATTACTAACAGCAAATGAGAATAACATGAGACATCGTAACTATTCTCTAGATCGTAATTGACCTAAATAAATTAAGGAATAAATCATCATCTTAAGTCTTTTAGAAAAAATATAATAAAACTAGAAGGTGTCAGAACGGTCGCTTTTCTTTAAGAGAAAACAATGATTTTGTTCCTGGGATAACTTTAACACCCTGATTGTGTTATCGTCGACATATAGTGCCATGTCGGCTTAAAGGTTGTCAGAAAGGAGGGGATTTACCGGACAAATGATTTGGTAATCTCGCTACCACTCCCGAATTTGCACGACAGACCGAGTGAGGGGGGATACAAATACTCGATGTCAAGGATCTCAATTTTACAGTTGCCATCATCATTCATCTTAAACACATGATTATTCTTACATTTAATTGAAATAGTTTTAAGTAAATCTAATTTTAGGAAACTTTGTATTCAATAAGTTGCCACGTAGGAATTTAAAAAATACGGTATATATTATTCACTATCAATTTTGATAAGATTTTTCTAAAGGAAGCACATTCCCACTTTCGCTCATCTAGCCCTTCTTCATGAAACGTTAGCTTTTCCTACCTGTTACCCCTTAAAGGTGTACTAAATTGTGGACTTAAACATCATCCCGTTTCGTGTACTATAGACATGAATACACTTCAGTTTAACGAAACACGTAGTGATTTGCTTAGATTATAAAATACATGCTCTAATCAATACCTTTGCAGATGACGCTATCAACGAAGATGTTGAGTAGAAATCATCGTGAAGCGACATGGCGGTATGGAGTGTCAGGTTCTTCAGATGAGGCATCTTGCAGATTAACTGAGCGAGATCACGTGATGCAGAGGGACGTTCACTGAGATTATCAAGCCGGATGTCAAGAGTTTCAATCTGTTATGATAGTATTAGTAACATTATTTATTGAGTTATTAATTAATAACAACCAACTAAAACTAGATTTTTACTTGCACAACCTTTTAAATGCACCAACAGACATGCACTGCAAATGAGCAACTTAGTCTTTGGACTTTTTAATCAGTACTTGAATAAAACCAAATATCTATCTATCTATCTAGTCGATTCCTCAGCGCTACATCCTAACTTACGGATCCTGCGGAGTATCATCATAGAAGTAGAAGTATAGAAGTATTCAAGATTTAAAAAATTGTTTAAAATTGCATTAATATCGTTGCGAGAATGACAACGTATTAACCAATCAACCTTTATTTTGTAATGATGTACAAGTCTTGACACCTTAAATAAGCACTAATTTAGATAGTTCCAGTATTGTTTTTAGATTGTAAAGGGTGTTCATACATTTCTGCTATGTTAAGGTGAACAAAAAGATTTGACTGATCCGATTAAGAACGTGGCATGACTAACATAAAAAAGTGGACGGTGGAATATTTTGAGAAGTATCACGAGAGATTACAGATAAAATGAGACATCGTCAATATTCTCTAGATCATAACTGACCTGAATTAACGAGCTAGATCATGATCTTAGATCATGATCTAAAGTCTTACGAAATATAATAAAACTAGGAGGCGGTAGAACGGTCATTTTTCTTCAAGATAAAACAATGTTTTGGTTTCGGGGACAACTTTAACACCCTGATTTTGTTATCGACGACATTATAGTGTCGTGTCGGCTCAAAGGTTTTCAGAAAGAAGGGGATTTACCGGATATATGATATGGTAATCTCGCTATCTCTCCCGCATTCGCACGACAGACCGAGTGAGGGGATGTAAATACTCGATATCAAGGATCTCAATTTTACAGTTACAATCATCATTAATCTCAAAAACATGATTATTCTCACATTAAATTGAAATATACAGTAGGCTTGCGGGTGCACCATGTGAGAGCTGGAAAAACACCATCCCTGAAATGAACCAACCCGCAGCTACACCACCGGAGCAAACTGTTGTTCTTCCCTATATCGGTTAAGCCTCTCACAAGATTCAACTTATCCTTCAAGCAGCAGACATCCAAGTTTGACACAGTTCCTCCATCAAACCCCATTCGATACTCCACTCCCACAAAGACAAGCATCCAAACCACAAGAAAGCGGGAGTCTACAAAATACCATGCGAATGTGGAAAAGTCTACATTGGTGAAACGGGGAGAATTCTGGAAACAAGACTCAAGGAGCACAGAACCAGCTTCAGACTCAGCGATTGGGATAAGTCCGCCATTGTCAAACACGCCCAGCAACACGATCACACCATCGAATGGGATAACAGTCATCTCGTCTCCATAATGAAGCACTGGCATACACACCGAATCCGAGAAGCTATCGAAATTCACCGCCACAACACCGTGCCCCAAGACTCAGGAGTATACATCAACTACATCTGGAAACCCCTCATCAACAAGTACCCGGTCACTCCTCCTCCACCACCGCCTCCACCACCGCCTTCACCACCCCCACAGGCACCCGTACATCAACAACCGCCACCCGCCGAACTTTCAAAGCAGCCGCCAGCCTCACAGCTACAATGTACAGCAGACGACAGCAGACTACAACGCAGCCTACGTCGGGGACACACACAGCGTCTCGCCGACAGCACACCCCACTCATGGATTCGAAACTCCCCTACGTCCGCAACCCGGAGACTCCAGCCCAGACGGACAGTCAGACGGACGAGCAGACCATCCATGTTCACTCCCTGATGACTCAAGCCGACACGGTCATGTATTTTTCCCCACGTCCGCACCCCAGTGACTTAAGCTCACGCACGCCAGCTATTCTCCACTCCTGACGACGGATAGTCAACCTGTTCGAAACGTTGGGCCACTCCCGCCACTCATCCTTTCCAAGCGCTATAGTTCTCCTTTGAACTATAAGCTAAGAAAGATAACCAACAGTCTTTTTCAAGACTACACAAACAGGCCTTTTCAGGACTACACACCCTCAAGAAAGATTACCGAGAGTCCTTTTCAGGACTTCTCAGTCCTCTTTCTCTCTCACACACATGGTGCACCCGCAAGCCTACTGTATATCTGCATCACCATGCAAGCCGATACTTACAAGCAGCATATAAACTGAAATAGTACTTTGTAAATCTAATTTAAGAAAGCTTTGCCTTGCCTCATAGGAATGCAAATTATGGTATATGTTATTCACTATCAATTCCTTTAATATTTTTCTAAAGGGAGTACATTCCCACTTTCGCTCATTTGCCCCCCACTTCATGAAACGTTAGCTTTTTCTACCTGCTTCCTTTTAACGGTGTACTTATTTGGACAATAACTTCATCCCGTTTCGCGTACTATAGACATGAGTACACGTCAGTATAACAAAACGCTTAGTGATTTGCTTAGATTATACAATATCGTTATGCTCTTATCAATACCTTTGTAGATGACGCTATCGACGAAGATGTTGAGTAGAAATCATTGTTCATGCAGCTTCCTTGACGAAGTGTGAGTGTCAGGTTTTTCAGATGAGGCATCTTGCAGATGAACTGAGCGAGATCACGTGATGCAGAGGGACGTTCACTGAGATCATCATGCCGAATGTCAAGAGTCTCAATCTTTTATGAACATTATGTTGAATTTGTAATGAATAACAACCAACTAAAAATGTATTCAAGATTTAATAATTTGTTTAGAATGTTATTGTATTAATATCATTGTCACGATGAAAACGTCTTAACTTATCCATCTTTATTTTGTAATGATGAACATGCCTTGACACCTGTAATTAGCACTAATTTCGATATTTCCTGTATTCTTTTGAGATTTAAAAATGATGTTCATACATTAGTGCTATGTGAACGTGAAAATATTTTTTGACTGATCCAATTAGGACTATGGCATGACTAAAAGCAAATAGGGGCCATTAGAATATGTTCAGAAGTATAACGTGACACTAAGGATAAAATGAAACATCGTAAATAGATCTCTAGATCATAATTTACCTGAATGAACGAGTTAGATCATGATCTAAAGTCTTTCAGAAACAAATTATAATAAAGCTATAGAAGGTGGCAGAACGGTAGCGTTTCTTTAAGAGAAAAAAAATTATTTCGTTTCGGGGACAACTTGAACACCCTGATTTTGTTAATGACCATATTGTGAAGTGGCAGCTCAAATATTATCAGAAAGAAGGGGATTTACCGGACATACATGTAGGATTTGGTAATCTCGCTATCTCTCCCGCATTCGCACGACAGACCGAGTCTGGGGGGGGGGGGGATTCAAATACTCGATATCAAGTGTCTCAATTTCACAGTTGCCACCATCATTCATTCATTAAACAAAACAAAATTATTCTGTATATATTTCATTGAAATAGTACATTTTAAATCTAATTTTAAGTAGGTTTTTATTGCCACGTAGGAATGAAAAATATGGTACTTGTTTATATTATGTACCATCAATTTGTATAATATTTTTCAGTATAAATATAGCACATTACAACTTCCTTCACACGAAAATAAAAAGTGAATTAATTTTGTTCAAGTACAGTTCTTTAATATGTTATATGTCTGATTAGTGCCCACACATGCCCATTCGAAAAATGTTGATTAATATTTCAGGACGTTTTGCTCCATTTCCTTTCGTTTGCCTCCTATAAAGGTGCTGCTCGTATCATCAGATGAGTGGTAGCGAAAAGTAATTATTCATTACAAAAGCATATTTCTCTTGAAAAGTGGCCCGTTAGTTTGCAGCTAGGCAGGAATCTTTTGTCTACGTATCTGCAACGAAGATCCAGTTAAGCACATGCCTGACATATTTTATCCTGGCGGCATCAAAGATGGTACGAAGGGAATGAGATAGATATGACTCCAGCTCTTGATTATAAATTATACGCTCTAATCATTACCTTTGCAGATGACGCCATTGACGAAGATGTTGAGTAGAAGTCATCGTGTATGCCGCCCCCACAATGGAGTATCATGTTCTTCAGATGAGGCATCTTGCAGAAGAACTGAGCGAGATCACGGGATGCAGAGGGACGTTCACTGAAATCATCAAGCCGGATTTCAAGTATTTCAATCTGTTATGATAGTAACATCATGTTAAATGATTGATTAATAACAACCAACTGAAAGTATATTTAAATGTTAACGATTTGTTTAAAATAAGATTAATATCATTGCAATGATGCCCACATCCCAACACGTCCGCCATTAGTTTGTAATGATCTACAAATCTTAACACCTGAAATATGCTTTTGCTCGGGAAGTACCTAAACACTATGTGACATTAGTTGCGGATCCCCGTATTTGCATCCCGGCCCCCCCCCCCCCCCCCCCCCACTCAGAGGTCGGAATGACCGCATGCGTGTTGCCAAAATGTCCGGTAAAGGGGTACTTTTCGTGCGACAAAGTCCGGCCCGAGAATTGTAAAAAAAGGGGTGTATTTGACTTTTCACCCGGAGATTTCTTTAAAAAGGGGGTGTTTTTCTTTTTTTTCTCTCATCTCTTTGGACTCCTGAGAAATTATTCCGAATTTAGGGGGGTACATTGAGCATTTTTCCTGATTTAGGGGGGTCTCCAAGGCAGGAAAAGCACGCGAAAAGCCCGCGAAAGGGGGGTTCGGAAATGTTGGCAGTCCTCAGATAGGGGGTGCTTTCAAAAAAAGGGTACGAGCATATGCGTACCCTAAATAACACTAAGTGGGGGGGCCGGGATTTGCATGAAGGGCTGATGGGAGGGAGGTCCAAACACTGGGGCCCGAATTCATAAAGGAGGTTTGTCGACAAACCTTGGTTTTCGTACGTCATATGACGCGTTTTTACGCGTTTTTTACAAACCTGGTTTGTAAAAAACAAAATGATGTCCAGAGTCTCAATTTCTTATTTTAGTACTCAAACATAGTACTAAACAGTCGCTGACATTTATATCATGAACGCAATACGTTATTTTCATTTTTGATTAAGATATTACTTTGGACATCTTTTTTCATAATAACGCAACACAAATGTGTGAACAAAATAGACAAGGGACAAACGGGAACGAAGAGATTCGATTTTTCCATTTATCAGTTCTGAATTGATCAATACACTATTCAAATAGCCGTCACTTCATCAACACTTTCAATGGGTTAGCATATTTGCCGCTTCGGATTCTTATTTCTCGGACGCCGGGAAATATGCAGTATTTACCGGTATTTACCGCTTTTTACCGGGAAATACCGGGAAATATATTTCCCACTCACTTGTTCACTTGGATTGTCCAATTTTGAACATAATAACAATGGTGGTGAGTATGGTTGCTCTGGTGTGTACTATTTGTGTGGGTGGGTGTATGTGTGTGTGTTACTATGAAATGCTGGAAAAAATTCAGGAAAAAGATCCCACATAATTATACACCTAATCTAGATATGATGTTCTTCATTAAGTCAGTTGCTAATTACCATATTCATGAATACCTATTAATTAGCATATCAACAAAATGCCATGTGTTTGGGTGTGTACATTTATGCAGTGTGGATTTTATAAATCTGTTTGTGTATTTTTACTATGAGTGTTGTGCTGCTAATTATTTCAGTACAATGTCCCTGTAATCTCTCGATGTCGACGATGCTGTCGATGAGTCATCCGTTACCGTCTCGACAAGAAGAGTGCTGCCTTCGATTCTGAGATACAACCCGTCGAAGATGTCCATGCCAAGCAATGCTGAATCTTTGCGTACGACGAATATGCTAGCATTCATCGACTTCGCTCCAACCTTGACACGTGTCTGAAATATACCCACTACTGGAATACGTCCTCTAGAGTAGTCTGAAATCTTGACGTTCGAAGGCTGCAGAGCTTCGACTAAGAATGCTGAGCGGAACTATCGACACACTAGAGCAGTGGCGTACCTGGGGTACTCCGTCAGGGGGGGCAAGCGACCGAAACAAACAAAAAAGGCGATGCTAATTTTCACTTCTGGCGAGCGAGCGAGCAAAAAAAAATCTTTAAGTAACGTTTGGTATATAAACTAGTATTGTTGCAAGTAGGGGGTGGGAACATTCACTTGTTAGCGACGTTAATTTCATTTTTTTGCAAACGAGTGTAGCGAGCAAGAAAAAAATCACTTCTTTTTTAAGAATTGTCACTTAAACTTGGTTCAATTGTCCCATGCAGGGCGCGGGAACAATATTGTGTTTAGGGTGATTTTATACCCATTTTAGCTAGCGAGCGAAAATACATCTTTCTCTCAATGAATTGCTATATAAAATTTGTTTCATTGTTGCAGGTAGGGGGCGGGCACAATCGTGTTTAAGGCAATGTCAATCCCATTTTGGCGGGC